CCCCCCCCCCCCGCCAAACAAAGGTGAACTGATGGTGTCAAATTGAATTTATAAGATAAGGCACAGAATGCACTATTGATAAGCAATTGTTTTTACTGTAGATTAAAAGATTGATAAACAGTTTATAGGACTTGCTTTGTCACCAGAGCTCAGACAGTTCCCATATGGATCGCAATGTTAAGTAAAATACAGGGAGCCAAATGGATGTAGAATTTTATGTTAAGTGAAAAGCTGAACAAAAACTGGAATATTTCTTCATGTGAAATATTTTCACTTTTGTACATGTAGCAGGCCCTTTATTTCTGCTTTTATTTAAAGAAAGATGTTATTTAGCTTCATATTAACTTGGTAATAACACAAAGAAAAGAGTTTCCTTTATTAATTGTTCTTGCAACTGCGTTTGAGAGCTTCTGTCTTAGGAAAAGGAATGGAGACTTTCTGTCAACTTCTTTGTAGTCTGAACTCTTAAGCTTCACAGGCCGTGGTCCTTAATGTCTGAAGAATAGCATGTCTCTCTTAAATTTGATTTCTTAACTCAGTAATTTTGTGCATGGGTGTAGGTAGAAATGCTAGGGTACCCCCCCACTCTTCTACAGACAGGGCCAACAGGTGAACATTTCTCAGAACCTTTCCTTTTTTCTCCTACCCCGGTTGAATAGGGAGCTTCAAATCAGTCTACCCCTAATGAACCTTTTGAACAGAAAAAGAATGGAGCAGCAGAATCAACCCAAGTCAATCCAGAAACCTCTAATTTCTTAGCTGGTTAAAGAAGAAGATAGAACAGTTGAAGAGTAGGATAGACTGCTTGAATACTGATCCTGTTCCCAAATGACTCATAGATCCGTGGGCAAGCTTTTTAACCTCTCTGCTGCTTCATCTTCTGTAAATAGAATGGTTACAGAGATATATTAGTAATTTAAAAATATATATCAGCATGTAATGCATGTTTTGCATATAGTGTACACAAAGTGTTAGCTTTTGTTTCTATTAATGCTGCTGTATTACTTTAACATTTTAACCAGGTTATTGGTTTTTGTGATGGCGCTTGTTGCTGCTGATTATTTTGCTATCTAGAGCCACCAAAACAATGCCACTGATGAGACTTGAACCAATATAAACTCAAAAATTTTTATTAAGCCTTTATTTTTATTTAAAAAAAATTAATACATGTTTGTAGTACATAATGGGCACATTTCTCGTGGGGAGTTGGTGCATGTGCATAACACATATTGTTTTTTATCACCTTCCCTACCTCTCGCTCTCCACTTTGTCTGTGTCTTGATCCCTTTCCCATCTGCAAAAGATCTGTCTCCCTATTTCCTATTATTTATATTTTATTTTGTTCTTTATTTATAATTGGGGTTTCTTGTATAAGAGAAATCATGCAATATTTAAGCTTGTGCATCTGATTTATTTCAGTTAAAATTATTGTGTCAAGGTACATCCATTTTCCTACAAGTGACTTGTTTAACTAATGATAGACACTATAGGCTGCTTCCACGATTTAGCTGTTGTGAATTGTGCTGCTATAAACATAGGTATGCATGTATCTCTGTAATAGGATGTCTTTAATTATTTTGGGGATAACTGGAAGAAGAAAGCAAGATCAAATGAAATTTCTAGTTTTAGTTTTGTGAGGAATCTCCATACTGATTTCCATAGGGGTTGTGCTAGTTTATATCCCCACCAAAGCTGTAGAAGGGTGGCCCCCCCACTGCCTCTGTGACCTCACCAACATGTTACTCTTTGATTTCTTAATGATAGCCATTCTTTATAGAATAAGATGAAATCTTGGTGTTGTTCTGTTGGTTTTTGTTTTTCTAATGGCCAGAGATGATGAACATTTTGTGGTTTGTTTGTTTGGTTGGGGTTTTTTTTTTTTTTTTTTTTTTTTTTTTTTTTTTTTTTTTGGCCTTCTGAGAAGGGTCTGTTCATTTCAGTTGCCCATTTTTTAGATTGGGTTTTTTATTTGAAAGGAGCCTAATTGTTTTTAGTTCTTTGTATATTTTTGATATTAGTTCTCTGTCTGACGAATACCTGGCAAAGTTTTCTTCCCATCCTGTAGGTTACTTCTTCACTCTGTTGTTGGTTGTTTCCTTTGCTGTGCAGGAGCTCTTTTATTTAGTATGATTCTATTTGTTGATTCTTAGTAGTATTTCTTGTGCGATTGGTGTTCTGTTCAGAAAGTCTCTGCCTGTACCTATGTCTTTAAGGGTTTTACTTATTTTACCTTCCAGCAGATTGTTTCTCTTTTAACATTTAGTTCTTTTATCTGTTTTGTTAGTTAGTTAGTTAGCTAGTTAATTAGTTAGTTAGAGACAGTGTCTCACTATGTAGTTGAGACTGACCTGGAACTCACTATGTAGCCCAGGCTGGTCTCGAACTCACAGCGATCCTC